CAGCCTAGGCCCTGCCTTCTCAGGCCAAGGTGACCATCTCCCCACACCCATCTCCTTACCCAGAGCACAGGTGGGTGGGGCCAAGATGCTGCCCAGGCCATCACCCCAATAGTGAAACTAGGTCACTTCCTTTGACACCACAGAAGTCCAGGCTTTACAGCTTCCTGCAGAAGCAGGACAAGGCAGGAAAAGCAAGATGAAAGCACAGGTCATCTTCAGGGATGGGAGAGTCTCAACAAAAGTACTCTGGACAGGAAAATACTTGCTGCTATTGCAAATCCCGACTAGGCCTTAATTATACTGCCAATCTCTTGTGTGAGGTTCATTCTGTCACCATCTGAGAGTGGTAAAACCCCCCATCCCCAACATGGCCTTCAGGATAGCAGCCAAACCTATGCATCCATCCCTCAAATTCTCCACTATCCTGCACCAGCCCACCTCGCCAGCAACTCACCACCACACCTCAAGCAACCAGTGTCTGGGAAATTCAATCTGGTCCTGAAACACAGCTCATCTGTGTCTCGGCGTGGACTGCCTGAAGTGACTCTCCCGCCTGCCTCCCCTCTCTTTATGCTTCCTATTTGATGGTTCCCTGAGCCCACCTTCAGTCCATTAAACAATGCTAGAGGCTGTACAACCAAAGCACCTCTTCAATTTCTCTCCTCTTCTCTATCTCCAGGTAACCCAAGCTGCCACATTCTCTAGCTTGAAGGTTGAAAACCACATTTTGGGGCCGGGGATTTAGCTCAGTGGTTCCACCTCCTGCCTCTCAAGCCCAAGGACCAGAGTTCGATCCCTGATACCAAAAAAAAAAAGAAAACCACCATGTTCTGACATTGCCCCCTTTCAGTTCATTCCAAGATCTACCACTGCCCACACCCCACTTTAAGTGTGCACTCCTGACCCATCTCCTATCCTTCCAATTCATTCATCTCTCGAGTCCTTATTCCAGCAGCCCTTTGTCCCTCTATTAAAATCCAAATGTCCTTGCTTTCTTTTTTGTCCCATTTAGATTCCAGACCCCATCATTAACCACTTCCCTGCAAATGTTCTCTTGCGCCTTTCTGCTTCTGTCATATTTGCCTAGGAAAAACCCAGACAAGGTATAATCAAACTAGTTTCCTGCGCTGTTTCTGTGTCTAAGCCCAACCAAATGAATAAGCTTGGAGAAGAATCCAAAGTCATGCTAACCAGTTCCATTTTACATCCACAACCATAACCAAATGGGAATGGAGACCAGCCAAGAGCACTATTACACTTTGCCCATGTGTCTGCTCCCCATTCTCCAACGTGGCCACGAACACCTCTTCTCTCCTTTAAGCTTCAAGGACCCCATAACAGACATTATGGTTCCCTTGTCGATACCTTTTCCTTTCTCTGTTATCCTTTCTTCTCTTGGCATCTAAGAACACTCTGATTTTTGTCTGACCACTCTAGCTGTCTCATGGTCTCTCCTGGTCCTGGGTTTCCTCTAAATATTGCTGGGCCTCAGACTTAACCATCAGCCTGCCTCTCTCTCCAGGGCATTCAGCCAGTCCCATCAAGATGCCAGGAACCCACCATGCCCATCTCTTCATCCCACACACTTCCACTGGGCTCCAGTCTCATTGATCCCACTGTTCCCTCAATGTCCCCATGTCGATGTCCAACAGACATTGCGAACACAGCATGTCAGAAATGGAACTCGTTCCACCTCTCCCACTCACCCCCAAATATAAAATGTGGACCCCATCTCTGGAAATAGCACCCAAGCTAGACAGATGCTGAAGCTATCTGTGACAGTCAAGCTGGCTTTTCACCTTGATTGAATTCAGAGCCACCCAGGGAATTAGCAAAGCACACTTCAGAGAATGTCTGGACAAGTCATGGAGGCATGAGACCCTGGCTACTATGTCTGTCCTGGCCCCTGCTTCTCTGACACCGTTCCCCTTGGCATTCCTCTGCCAAGCCCTCCCTTCATAATGCTCCTGTTGTGGAGACAGCCTAGCGTGGAATGAACCCTATGAAACTGGGAGCCAAATAAGCCTCTCTTCCTTTAATCTGTGGGCATCATATAAGTTTTTGGTGTCCAGTATTTTATCCAGGGACAGGAAAGATAACCAATAAGCCATCGTTATTATTCCTCTTTCACTGACCATCCCTATCAGCAAATCTGGTCAGACGGAACCTCAAGACGTCGCCCTTTGCAGTCCCTCTCTCCATGCGCACCACCCTATCTTCCCAAACCGACATCACCTATGTCTTACCTTGCCACACACCAGCAGTCACCATGGAAACAGTTTTGCAGATCTTCAAAATGTTAAACACAGAATGACAATACATATGATGCAGCAAGATCATTCCTAGACATAGACTCAAAGAACTGAAAATAGGTGTTCAAACATAAACTTGTTCACAAACGTTCATTCACAGATGCCCATACTCAGTAGCCAGAGGTGGAAAGCAACCTTCCTGGTCCCTTTGCCTGGCATTTTGACGAGACTTTCCATGACTGGCCCTTGCTGATCCTCCAGGTCTCTGCCCTAATCCTGGAGGCCTTCCCTGACCTGCTCATTCCCTGCAGGACCCACCCATGCTTGCAACCATTTCTTTGTGTTGTCCACGTCCTCTAACTAGAAGGTAAGCTCGCCAAGGCAGGATTCCTTTTCCTGTTTTTTGTGGAACACAAAAGGTGCTCAGCAGACAGGACAGCTGTTAAACCTCAAAAGTCCAGGCATGTCCTCACCCAGGCTATACCCATCCAAAGAGCGTACGCCTGCCCAGCCTGCTCCCCCTCTGAGCAGAACTTTTTTAGTAGGTACCAGCACAGCCTATATTCCTAAGATCTTCACATCCCACCAGGCACTCAGTCCCTGTCTAACAAGGGGCAGAAGGAGGAGAGGAGCAAGAAGAATAGAACACAGCAGAGGAAGAGCTCACAGGACTGTGACCACCAGTTCTTGGGCAAAGCTCTCCTCCAGTCCCATCTCCATACAGCCTCATAGGAACTATATGATGAGGAAACACAGCCTCAGTGAAGTAAATAGCTTGTTCCAGGGCACATGACTATCAAATGGAGAAATGTAGAGAGCTCTGACCCAGAATCCTTGTTCCTAGTCATTGGGCAACACTGCCTCAAGAGAGATAGGAAGATACAAGCAGCGGTGCACACCTATAATCCCAGCTATTCAGAAGACTGAGGCAGAGGCATTGAAAGTTCCAGGCCAGCCTGGGAAACAATAAAAATTTTTTAAAAGGCTGGGGATGTAACTCAGCAGTAGAGCATTTGTCTAGCCTGAGCAAGGCCCTGGGTTTGATCCCCAACATCAAAAAGAAAGAGAAAGTGGGAGGGGGGAAGATTTCCAGTATCTGTTTGCAGCAAATACAAAGGTCCTGAATTCCTGATCTACAAAGAGTAATTTCTCCACACCTGCAACATTAGTGCAGGTTATAGGTAACTAAGGCCGCCAGACCAAGCTGTTCTCCCCCTGGGGACCATGGAACAGGAGCTGCTGTCCTCACCAGAAGTGCTTAGCAGCAGATATGGGCACCCCAAGCTGGGCCCAGAAGTGCCGCAGCCCTGAGATTGCTCTCAGGAGGCAGGCTGGGGCAGGGACAGGAGTGGACGGGCACATCCAGGGCCCCTTTAAGGGAGCTGGCAACACCTGTTCCCCGAGCACCGAGGAAGTCTCGGGAACACTGGTGGGTTTGTGGGCCTCGGAATACACATGGCTTCTCTCCCGTTCTATACTCAGGCAGAGGGCCGGGCTGACTTTCCCAACATCATCGCACCTTTGCTTTTCCTGACAGGGGTACACAGGCCCTAGCCCTCCTGGGGCTGCCCCAGGAGCTCATGAGCCCAGCTCAGGCTGCTCCTCTTCCCTGTGCCTGCTCCAGCTGCCATCAGACTGCAGCCTCCACAACCCTGGCCCTCCAAGGGCCTGCAGCCTGGGCCCATAGGCTTGCCATCATTTAAATTTTAATACGAAACATAAATACTACTGTTATTCTTACATATTAGTATTATTTATAATAAACTCCTTACTAGGAGCTGGGCCCTGACATTTGATATTGTGTTGATTAACTCTTTGTCCTCCATGGGAACTTTGAGAAAAATCATTATTCTCCCCATCAACAGATGCAGAACCTAAGACCGATTCAGAGGGGACCAGTGACTTGCCCAAGGTCACACAGCAATGAAGTCACGAGTGGGAGGTAAAGCCTCCCCCAGCTCTTTCTTTGCTCATATCACCTAAACTTTCCTGTTAACTCTGCAATGAGACACACTGACCTGCTGTCCTGAAGTCACAGAAATCCCTCCAACCCAACAGGGGGCTCTGACCACCGCTGGGGGAGCGATGGCAGAGCAGTGGTTGGGTGGAACCTGGTGGTGTGATGGGGGACACAGAACTGGCATGGAGATGGGGTCACACAGGGCATGCACACCACTGGCCACACTTACCACCTGAGGGAGGGCAGGAGAGCCCACAGAGGGTCCCCGCAGCAGAGGAGAGAAGGTGGAGTTGGTTAGAGAGCCACGAGAAGAAGCACAGAGGCAGCCTGGGGCATGGAGCAGACCCAGCCTCCCAGCGGCACCCACACCTGTCAGGCCACTCTTGGTTCTGGGCTGGGTAGGGGTGCCGGAAAGCCTCTCAGGCATAACCTACTCCTTGATTAGCAGAGGCTGCCTGGCGTGCTATTTCAGGCGGCTGCACTCAGGCTTGGGATGGGAAGAGCCCACGGCATTTTAGCAATGAGTGGCATGGACCAGCCTAGGAGTATGCTTCTCATCCAGCACATCCTAAACTCCCATGGGCCCAACCATCCTCGCTGCCATGTGTGGGGCCAGGGCACAGGCAGCTCAAACTGTGCTAGAACAGAACCAGATCTAGAAACCAAGGTGCCCAACACCCAGTTCTGCTAAAACAAACACAGTCCCTGAGCAAGAGATCTCAGGAAGGGGGCTGGGAAAGGGTCACCCCGAGGGTGACTTGGCCTACCACCTCCCTCCCGCAACTCACATGTCCGTGCAGGTCCGTGTTGAGCAGCATCAGGGCACAGGTGAGCGTGTGGATTCCATCTAAATCAGAGATGGTAGCAGCCTCAGGGTCAGGGGCCAGCGCATACCCACCCTTAACTGTCCACCTGTCTTCCAACAGTACCTGCCTGAAGACCCAGGGGACAGGCAGCAGCCAGCCACCTGCCCTCAGAGCTGGGGCCTGTGTGATGCTCCTGCCTGCCCCAGGTCAGGCTGTCCCCTCCCTCAGAGGGAACTTGGCAGTCCTTGCCTGCTCTAGCCCATATGCCTGCCTCCTGTAGCCAAATTCATCTTGAACCTCAGGCCCAGCAATGGCTCTGCATCCTGGGCCATGTCTCTGCTTTGGCTGTGTCTCTTGAGTTTCTGGGATCCAGGTCCATTCATAGGGAAAGTCCCCAACCAGGAGCCCCACCCCACCAAGAATCAACATTGTGACAGGGCACCAGGGTGTGTGAAGACCCAGAAGACTAAATTCTAAGACTGAGGACTTTGAGGCACTGGGAAGGACAATGGAGCTCTCTTGCCCAGCAGGCAGCCCCATTCCATGTGCCATCGGCTACTCATTCAGTGTTAGTTTAGCACCTACTGCATGCCACAGGAGGGAGAAAGGGGTGGGGCCCAGGGGGCAGTGGGAAGGTCAGGTGGAGCAGGCAGGGCTGTACCTTCTGAGGTGCTGTCATCAGGGTTGCACTGGCAGTACCGGCGGGAGAAATGTGTAAGGACCCGTTCACGCTCCTGCGTCTCCCCCATCAGCGGAAAGGCCTTCAGGAAGGTTCTGGAAGGCAACCCAAAGTAGCTGAGGGCCTCCCAGAGTTGCTGAGTCAGTCTGGGTCCTCACCCAGAATAGAAGCCCCACTACACACACGTACTCAGCCTGTCCTGCCTGGAAGCCATTTGTCCCAGCTCCTATTCCCCAGCCCATACTCTGCTTTCCTTGGGGCTTTTCACCAAGCCCCAGCCCAGCACAGCCACCACTAAACTCAGGCTGTCCCCCCAGATTTTGTCCCACCGTCGGCCAGCCTCTCCCACCTCACCCCCTGAAGTCCTTCTGCTCGATCCTCTCAGCAGCCTCTCACACTCACCTTTCCCCACCCACCCTCTATCCTTGTCCTCTCCCGCCTGTCTCTCTTCAGAAGACTGCACGCTGCTACCAGCACTGCTTTACTGCCAGCACCATCTGTGGCTCCCCAGTGCCTGTGCAGTTGAGCCTCACTACTGGGGAACACACAATGCCTCTAGTCCACCACCCGTGCCTCTAATCATGAGCTAGCCTCCCTGAAAACTTTCCCACAATCTCCTGCTCCACCATGCAATCCTGAAGATTCTCTCAGGATAGAGTATGTGCTGCAGAAGAGAGACACTTCCACTAAGAACAGTGGCAGCTATGTGTTTTCTGAAACTGCTGAGGCAACAAAGATCACAAGGGCCAAGATCCTGGAGACAAGAGGACTGGGGTGAGGGGGCTCATCTGCTGTGGCTGCTTTTAGCTGAAACACTGCTGAGTAATAGCACAGGTAAGGGGCAAGACAGCAGGCGGCTTTAAGGGGCAAAGAGACAAACCTGGAGACCAGAGGGGCTGTATGCACACAGCCAGGCAGGTATGTGACAAATTCCAGAGTGAAAGGAAAGAGGCTAAAAAGCTAAAAAAGAATGCCTCTGGGAAATAGAGGGTTTTGTTCTTGGGTTTTCTTTTCTTTTCTTTCCTTTTCTTTTCTTTTCTTTTTGGTTTTTGGGTTTTTCAGCAAGCTTGCTACACTGAGGAAACCAAATGAGGATTGAGAATTCACCAAGGGGCAAGGTCCAGTAACCACACTTGGCTCCCTGTGGAAAGTCCTGAGTCTTTCCAAGATTAAGGCGAACTCTGATCCTCACCAGGCTTCAGTGCTTTGTCTCCTCAGCTAGCTGTGCTTGGGTTAGGACCATGTCCCCAGGTTAAGGACAAGATAAAAAGGAAGAAAACAAACTAGAGCCACTATAGTTCTATATGGAGTGTGTAGCATCAAGTAAAAAAAAAATTACTAAACGTGCAGAGAGATATTATAAATGATGGGAAACCAAGAGAAAAAACAGGCAATAGAACGGGTATAGATGATTCAGATGATGCCAATATTAGAAACAGCAAACAGGGACTTTATAATAATGTGTTCAAAAACAGAGGTAAAGATGGAGAAAATTAGTGAAAAGTGGAGAATTACTTAGAGAATAAAAACTCTTTTTTTTTTAGTAGTCCTGAGGATTGAACCCAGAGCCACTTGCATAGTAGGCAAATGCTCTACCACTGAGCTATATCTCCAGTCTTTTTTTATTTTCTTGAGATAGGATCTTCCTCAGTTGCCCAGGTTGGCATCAATCTTGCAATCCTCCTGCCTTGGCCTCCCAAATAAATGGGATAACTGGCATGTGTCACTGACCCTAGAATCTATTTTTAAATTTTAAATAAAACCAAAGTAACTGGGATTACAGACACATACCACTGAGCCTAGCCTAGAATCTATTTTTAAATTTGAAATAAGATGGAAATTCTAGAACAGGAAAATATGATAACATAAAATTAAAACTCGGTAAATGGGTTTAATGGTATCTTGGACATTAAAAAAAAAAAGAGTAAGTGAAGTGAAAGCAGATCAACAGAAAATACCCCACCCATAGCAGAGAGAAAAAAGAATAGAAACTACATTATTTTAAGTGTAAGGGACACATGGGACACTGTAAAAGGACCCAGCATATGTGAAGCACACAGCCTTCTCTCAGAGACTAAGGTCTTGTCTGTCCTTCTTATGGCCCGGTCCTGCCACCATACCCTGCTGACAGTGAGCTTCATCCAATATCATACTCCTGCTCCCTGCAGCCTGCACCTGGTCCTACTGAGGCGCCTCCTTGGTCAAACCCCAGGTAGAGCTGAGATCAAATATCCTCTCAATGAGTCATCTCACACTCAGTGACTATGGGGGAATCCTCTTTACCTCTCTGCCCAGAATTTCTTCATTTGAAGAGAAGGAAGGATCAAACCCACCTCACAGGGTTGCTCTGAGAATGAAGTAGGCCAGTATGTAAAGACAGCTGATGCTCTTGGCCTCTTCCCACATCCTTGCAAGAGGTTCAAGAGACTTGCCCGAGGTTGCACAGTGAGTTTGCAATAAGAGCTCAGATGAGGATCCAGGTGTGCTGCCCATGCCACCTGTGGACACTGTCCCATCCCAGACCCACTGACCTGAGAGCTCGGTCCAAAGTGAGTCCAGAGAAGTCAAAGAAACTGAGGTACTCGCCAGCCACCAGCCTGCTGAACTCGTTGCTGCCAGAAGAACACAGGATGTCAGTTAGAAGCAGGGTCCAACCCAAGACAGCAGAACAACGGTGGGTACCTGGGGATGGGCTCCAGTGTGCCCTGACCCACCCACCCGGAGCTGCCAATCCATAGGCTGCCCCCCTGATGGCCAGTTGGGCTCTGACAGCTCAGCCTCAGGCTGCAGGATCAGGATGGCTTCCTGGAAGAGGCCAACAGGGAAAGTGAGAACCAACCAAGTAAAGGAAGAGAAGACAGGATGGTATCAAGTGCTATGAACAGAGGAAACTATATCGAATGTCCAAGAAGCCACCAGCACAGCCATGTAGCCAGGGTCTGGAAAGCGGGAACAGGGGCAACAAGAGATAGGCAGGCTGCGGGTCAAAGGAAGGATGGTGACATGATGTGAAGGGCTTGGACAGATGGTCACATCTGTATTGTGGACACTACCTGTTGAGTGGAGACCCACAGGGAGGATATAGGAGTTGTTCAGGAAAGAAGTGGGCACATGATTTAGGAAGCAGAATCTCCCAGAAGGAGAGATAGATCCGGTGGGGACAAGGCTGAAAAGGTGGGATACTGGGGCTCAGCAAGGATGGGGCAGGTGTACATCAGGGAGAGCATCACTCCCCGGTGGTCAGCAAGAACTTGGTGCAGTGAGACTGAGCCCACATGAGAAGAAAGAGCAGAACCAGCTGACCAGGTGGGGCAGGGCTCTAAAGCTATCCTGGAGGCCAAGGTGGAATGTGTCACAAGAAAACTGGATTGAAATATTCTGGTCAAAAATCAGAACACATCTCCACCTGATTCTTATCAAGCTCAAGCTCAAGCTCTCACTCCCACTCACAGGACCCATGGGAAATAGAGGAACATGTAAAATAACACCTTGAGGGTGTTAGCCCAGACATGAAAAGTTCAGGAGGTTCAGCTTCCTCAACAAATGCATGGCACTGAAGAGGGAAGGGGCTATTGTAGATTAAATGATTCTTGAGAGATACAGGACCAAATGCAAGATGTGGAAATGTTTGGGTCCTGGATTTGACAAAATAATATTTTAAGGCAATCATACGAGATCAGGCGTGTCCAGCGTGGTATGGCCATAGACTTTAGACAATCAGAGAAAATTAAACACAAGCCAAATGTTGAAGATAATAAGGAATTTTGGTTAAGTTTTGTTAGAAATTATAATTATATAAACAAACTAATCAGAGACATACACTAAAGTACTTAGGAATCAAATGAAATAGTGTCTGAATATGCTTTAAAACACTCCAGCAATCCTGGCGTGACAGCACACACCAATAATCCCAGCACTCCAGGAAGCTAAGGCAGGAGGATCATAAATTCAAGCCCTGACTGAGCAATTTAATCACTTAAGGATTTGGGCTGTGACTTGGGGAAACTCTTGCTTTTTAGATGGGAGAGAGGCATACCACTGACAGCTAATGGGAAGACTATTGTAGAGGGAGGAGAAGTTGGAAAGATGGAAGGGGTTCAACCACAAGAAATCTCCCGAAAGGCTGTCATTAGGTTGGGGCAGCTCAAGCCCAGTAGGGAGGTGAAGGCATCTGAGTTGTGATTTCTTTGCCAGGGCCTTTGGGGACCCAGTGTAAGAGTGATGTGGAGGCTAGAGAGGGTGGAAGAGGCAGGATGGAGAAGGGAAGGATCCAAGACCACTGGGACGCCCACGTCAGCTCCAACTCATGGCCAAGGATCTGACTGTTCCTTAACTCTTGTGAGTGGTGCTCAACGGCCAGGCCCACTTCTGCCCACCTCAGAGCCTCCCTGTGGTGACAGGTAGCTCTCTGACAGAGGGACCAAAGGCAGAGGCTATGCTGCTAGTCAGACATGCTCAAGATGTGCCCAGTCTGTCTCAGCTGAAGCCCCCACCTGTGCCCCGAACCCCATATTGCCAGTTTCCCCTTGCACCCACTTGAAATCCAGGGCCTGTGCTCTGGGTGTCCCAGAACCTTCAGCTGGTCCCAGTGGAGAGTAGGGCTTAATGAGCCCTCTCCTGAGCTCAAGGTCTCAGTCATTTCTCCCCCACACCTCTATGCAAGCTCTCCTCTCTCCCTGGCCCCATTAGGCAGGCCACTAGCTCCTGTCTGGCAGCTCTGTCCTCACTACCATCCACCATGACCCCATAATCACATCCTGCATCCAGCCCCTCAGCCCTGAGGGGCCGCCTGCCCCCACCCTTCCCTGACAGCAGCAACCCTCATCCAAGCAGCCCAGAAAGGAAACAGATTTAGAGCGAGGCCAGGAATGAGGACAGTGGCAGGAGGTGTCCTTGAAGGACTGTTGAGTGCCCCTGGTAGCAGGCACCCCTGAGAGAAGCCACTTCCCACACCTTTCAGGCTAACGAAGACAGCAGTTTGCCTGGGAGAGGAGGTGTGGGAGGCCACTTACTTCTTGCCCAGCTGCCGGGCCACGTCACAGCGCTGGAAGCCCTCGAGGTGGTAGAGGCGGCGGGCCAGCCGGTGAGCAGCTTCATTGACACCCTGGCACCCATTGGCCAGTGGGTCTGTGCTTCCAGGCTCCAGCCCCTCCGAGCTGCTTAGCTCTGAGTCCGAGTCCGACAGCCCATCCTTCAGGCTGGGGTCACTGCAGGTGGAAAGGAGGGGGATCAGAGGCCCAGGAACAGAGGCCCTGCATGGGCCCCAAAGGACTCCAAGGCCTCTGCAAACCCACTTGGGGTCCAGAACAGGGCAAGAAGCTCCACAAAAGCAGGAGGACATTAGTTCAGACTTTCACAGGCGCCCCCTCACATGAAATTATGCCCACAGCCCATCTAATTATGCCCCAAGCCCATCTAAGCTGAGAAAACGTGAAGAACAGAATGGAACCTCAGGTCCCAGGGTGGAAAGTCTGGAGGCAGAGGCGGGACAAGGGGAGCCTGAAGAGGGTTTATTGACTTTGGACACTGGTCACCCTAACATGCTTTACCTCTCTGTGCCTCAGTCTCTGTATCTGCTCAGTTGCTCCCCCAGCTCCCAGTCCAGGCCCTGCCTCACCTTGCTGAGTTCAGCAATTTGTCCGTGTCCTCATCATCATCGTCCTCGTCCCTGCCCGACCCCTGGGGCCCATCCTCATGGAATCCATTGGGCACGGTCGTAAGAGACAGGCGGCTCAGGACGTTCTCTGAGCGGCTGCTAGAGATGGAGCGTCGCAGGGGGCTGCCCAGCTCCCCATCACCTCCGGCTGCCCCCAGGTCCCCCTCAGGCCCCATGTCACCAATACCCAGCCCAGCCCCTGGCTCGGGGCTATCCCGGGCCCTCTGCTGGATGAGGGGTGTGAGTGGAGCCTCGAAGCTAACACAGCTGTCGCTCTCATCAGTGAGGCTCAGCACGTCCAAGGAGTCCAGGCTGCTGTATTGGGTGCCACGCAACAGCTCTGACTCCAGAATCTTCTCAAACGTGGCGCTGAAGCCATCCCGCACATCTGGCTCCCCGGGGCCATCAAGCCTGTGGGATGCAAGGACCAGTCACCATCCTACCCAGGTGTCCTCAACACCGGGGCTGGTCATGGCAGCAGTTTGTGCCTGAAGCTCCCCAGAGGCAGGGAGCAGGCCTGGGTTGTGTCCTGCTTCTTCGTTCTTTCAGCCAACACAAACTGAGCACTAGGGGCCAGATGCTGGGCTGGGGACAGAGGACACAGCAGAACAAAGGACAGATGTGGCCCCTGCCCCTTAGTGCCCAACCCAGCGCCTGGCTTTTTGCCATCTAGACAGATGTCTGTCTCAGTGAGCGACTATGAAGCCTCTTCTCCCACCCTGGCCTGTAGATGTCTCCTTGTCACAACTAGTGCCACACTCAGTCATACCTTTGCTATCTGCACTGCCTGGAGGTTCTTAGCTCAAGCAAACACACAGCTCTCAAGGCCTGCTCTCATGTCACAGGCCCACACTGTCGGCCCCTCTTCTCCATTCTCTCTCCTCAGGGTGACTCCTCATTCCCTCCCCAGCTCTTACCAGCACGTAATATTCTGTTTGTTCCCCTCTTTGCTGCATGCTCCCCAGCTCCTAGCTCCCCAAACCAGAGCTTCACAAGGCCAAAGTCTGCCTGGCGAAGACAGTTCTGCCAGGCCTAGGCTGGGTACTAGAGACATTCAAATAAGATAGCACCCTGCCCTTGGAGAACTCTCCGCCCACTGTGAGAGCTACAGGAGGTAGTGCCATCTCCACCACCCTGAAACTGAACAGGACTGAGGAGTGACTCCAACAGGGGCTGGAAAATCACCAGCCCAATTTCCAAACCTCTCTCTGCCCCAACCTTTGGCCACCCCAAATCAGCAAGCAACCTGAATACAAAGAGCAATCTAAGGAGCCTCAGCCCTCTGCCCCCTCCTCTCTGCTAGCTGCTGGCAGCTGCCCCAGACCCTGCCTGGATGGAAACGTACAGCTATGCACGCCGAGTGCACGAAGGCCTGCAAACCCACCTGCTCACCTCCCCCACAGAGACCTACAGATACTTCACCTTACGCACCCACATAAGAGACCAAAAGTGTGCCAGCAACTGCACAGGCTGGGGACTCAAGCCTGCTGCTATTTTAATTCCTTTTCGGGATCAGTCACTCCCAAGCACCCAGAAGCTAGACTAAAGAAGAATATGAAATCCCCATCTTATATATGAGAAAAACAAGAAGGGGCTAGAGACCACACAGCCATGGAGCTGTCAAATATAGTGAGCCCCTATCCCAAGACACCCACTTACCCCAGCTGAGGGTCTTCAGTGTCTGGACAGAGGCTGCTGGAGACATCATCCCCCTCTGCCAATGCACAAGCCCTCCAGGAACTGGGCTCTGTTGAATCTTCCAGAATGTTTCTTTCTGGCCCCAGGGTTAGGCCATTGGTGAGGGTGAGGCTGAGGCTGAGGCCAGGGAGGGCCTCACCTGGGTCCTCTGTGGGCTCCTCAGTTTCCAACAGCGTGTCCCTTTTCTCATGCCTTGGGTTGCTGAGGTGGCTGCTCAGACCCTCACTGGCTGCCATTCCATTCTGGGCCCTGGGCTCCTCCTCAGGCTCCAGGCTAGGGTCCCAGGTGGCACTGTCATCTTCGTTCAGTGCAGACGGAAGCTTGTATTCATCCATGGCAGCCACTGCTTCCACCCTATCCTGATAGCTCCTGGGACTCCAGTACACCTGGCAGAAGATGGAGAGTTGAAGTCAGTGTGGGTCAGACAGGGCAGGGGCTGGGTATTTAAAGCCCAGTGGAACCAGCACCAAGGCAGCCTGCTGTGGCCCAGAACACAGCCAAGACAATCTCCGCAGGGCCCTTGTGTCTGTAGCCTGGCTTCAGATCCTGCCCTTCACCTCCCCCTGACTCCTGACCAGCTCCTTGTACCTAGTCCCTGGATTCCCCATTAGCTCTTGTGTCTCTATTGGGCCCTCCAGGGTTCCCAAGGCCCTCTGAGGAAGACTCAGGTGGGCAGGAACTAAAGAAGGGTAGGACACCCCTTGCAGGCCCCATCCATTTGCTGGGGAACGATGGAGACAAAACCCCAGTCTGACAGCCAGCCCGTATCCCCTTCTGTGTGTCCCCTGCCCCACGTCCAGGAGCCAGAGATTTTTGTGGTTAATGGCGGGAACTGGGCTGAGGACTGCCTTTAGGGTGGAGGTAAAGAAGTCAGCAGAATTGCAGCTCAGTCAGAGCATCAGCCACCCCAGGGAAGCAAGCCAAAGGAGGCCCTGTGTGAGGTGCTGTCCAGGGTGCTGGGCAGGTACAGGGCCACCCAAGAGCCTGCGGGGAGCCACGCTGCCTCTCCAGTTTCCTGGCTACGCCAGCAAAAAGGACAAGGGATCTGGGCTTCCCTCCACTTCTGGGCCCCAATGGAGCTTGCTCCATCTTGAGGAGGGACTCACAGGAGACACTCGGGAGAGCACTGCAAGGGGAGTCATGCAATGCTCTGCCAACTTTCTCTGCGGCCTCATATGTATCTGGGTGACCTCACTGCACCACCCAGGCCAGTCTGCTCCCCTCTGCTTTGTGCCCTCCATCTCCACCCACTGCCCTGCTTACAATGGCTCAGGACCAGCTCATGGTCCCAGAGGCCAGTCTCCCAAGGACATCCCAGCTGGGGAGTGCAGTGGTGATGGGCAGTGGGCTGTGGTCTCACTCTCCGCTTTTCTCTTTGGCTCCAGTCCCAGACAGTCTAGGCAGGCCTATCCACCTGAGCTCTACTGTGGGAACAAACCACACCCTTCCAACCCCCCAGAGAGCTGCACAGAGGCAGGAATCTGGGCCACTTCCTCCCTCCTCTCTGTGGGCCTCAGCTATCCAGCACCCCCACTCTCCTTTGGAGAAGGACTGCTGGGGCCTCAGAAGAGGCCGGGAGAGCAGAGGGATAGGTCTGCTTTCTGGGCTGCTACAGCCACAATGACAAGAGTGGGAGACTCACACACCCTGTGTGTGCCTGCTCTTAACTCTCACCTGACGACCTGTTAAAATGCATTCTGTCTGCCCCAGACCTCCTGAGCCAGGCTCTACCAGAAACACATATGGTGATCTGTTATTCTCATAATGAGGCAAATGTGGGAAACATTAGTTAGACACCCAGAAGTACTTTCTACCTGCAAAAATGAGACCAGAGCGGAAGGTAAGTCTGCTTCTCTGGGAACTTCTAAGCTTCTGAAGGGGGGCTCAGCTACTGCAAACCAAGTAAAATTCATTTAACCTTTGGTTTTAAAACATGGAGTGGAAAGGCCGGAGATTTAGCTCAGGGGTTCTGCCGCCTGCCTTGCAAGCTTAAGGTCCTGAGTTTGATCCCGTTAGAGAGAGAGAGAGAGAGAGAGAGAGAGAGAGAGAGAGACAAACTGATCTATAGTTCACTCAATCTGATCCTTACCTAGAGATTTTTTGAAGTTTTGTGTTTTGTTGCTGTTGTTGTTTTGAGACAGGATCTTAGTCCATAATTCAGGCTGATGTGGCCTCAGACTCAAGGTGATCCTCCTGCCTCAGCCTCCTGAGTGCTGAGATCACAGGTGTGCACCACTATGCCAGCCTCACCTAGAGTTTTTACTACAGTGTGAGAGTAAGATTTAACCAAAAACTGAACAGGCTATAGGCTATCTGGGCTCTGAACCTAAGACACCAGGGACCCCTGGGGCTCAGCATGGGGTGAGGATTCTTTCTGGTATGCCCTACATCCCTGCTGCTGGGGTTGCTATTTCAATCTGCTCCCTCTAGTTAATACCCAGAGGAGGGAGACAAGAGGTCACCTCCCCCGCTGAAACTCCTTGAAACTCCTTCAGGAGCCACAGGGAGCATTTAGAAAGGAAGGAGGGGAGGGAGTGGCGCTTTGGGGCCCGCTGCCTGAGTTCTAGTCCTCTGGCCTGCTTTACAGCCCAGGCCCAACATAAGCACTGGCTCTGGGCACAGGGTGTGAGCCCGACCTCTTGGGATGTTCAGGCTCCAATGCCCATGGACAGAAGCTGAGCCTGAGGCCCCGGTGAAGTCCAACATTTCCTCAGTTTACATCAGTCCCAAAGGTAGGGTTGTGGATAAACCAAGGGCCTCTCAGAGATGCCTCAGGCTACTTCCAGCCCTACCTGTCCCACCATGTCCTCCTGCAGCTGACAGTGGGAGGGAGGCTCTGCCAACCCCAGGCACTGGGCCATGCCCTTGGTTTCTGGGGTGGGCAGACAAGGGGAAGCATTGAGTTCTATTCTGGGCGGGGGGCCCGGAGTCCTTCCCTGGGCTGAGGGCCAGTCGAGCTTAGAATAGCTGAGCCAGAACCCCCTCTCTTTCTGAGCCCGAGGGGGGTGCGCAAAAGGAGCTCAGGATAGGGGCCCAAGTCCTCCCTCTGAACCACTGTGTGTCCTTGGCTAGACTTTGGCTCCTCTGGCCTGTAGGAAGCCATCTGCAGAAAGGAAGCCTCACCCTATTCTCTTCTCCCTGGTGCTGATGGGAGAATGTAAGATAATGAATGCTAAGAGAGCTGAGATCCAAGGAAGAGCAAACTTACCACAGAGGTCAAGAAGGAAAGGCCACGCTTCACTCTTTCCATCACACTTGACTGGTGGGGAGACTGAGGCACAAAACTGGCAAAGGCTCTGCCTGAGATTGCACAATGAATAACTGCTTCTAGCACCAGGAGTGACCTCCCTGTCCAGATAGATGGGCTGGAAGCACAGGAAGAGCCCCAGTTTCCGGGCCCCTGTCACACCCTCTCATGAGAGCAAAGCCCAAATCCTCATCCAGGAGAGTTGGCCCAAAGCAGTGACCCTGTCTCCAGCCCCTCTGGCAAGAGCAGGGGAGGGGAGTGCAGCTGGGCTACCAGGCATCCATCCCAAGGAGGCGCTTCCAAATAACAGGCTAGTAGTGCCCAAGATCCCCTGCTGCCTCCCTCAGCTTAATCCAGGCCCTCTCCAGGCAGGGGATCCACACCGCACAGCCCTGGGGGTGACCTTGTGCTCAGCAGCCTCTTTTTCAGCACTAGCCAAAATAGGGACCATGATCATAGTAGAACCCTGCCTGGCACCAAGCCACACATATTCTGGGTCTCAGCTGCTCTCAACACAGCCCTGACCCTCTCTCCACTGTCCCCATGACAACTGGAGTGAGCTGTGAAAACACATATTATATCACATGCCTCCCTCATTCAGACCCTTCCAATGCTTCCCTCACCCTGAGATTAGCATCCAGTCTCCCCAACATGGCCTAAAAAAGCCCTGCCAGAGCTGGTTCTGCTGCTTTCTTACCATCCCCCTATCAGCCACTCTGGCCTTCTTTGTGCTCCCTGAGCTCATTCCCACCTCAGGGCCTTTGCACCAGCTGTACTCTTGGCCTAAAATGTTCTTCACCTAGATCTTTACATGGCTCTCTCTTCTGCCATTCAAGATTCAACTCTGATGCTCCCTCCCTAAAAGGGCCATCTCTGACTGCCCAGTATGTGTTATCACACTCCCCCACTAAAACCAAACCACAACTGAAACTCCTTTATCTGTTCACAAACTTCCTGCCCATTTCTCTGACACGTGGATGTTGAGTCCAGTGAGGGGGGGACCTCTCATGTTCACAGCTGTCCAGCAAAGCCAATGCCACACCTGGCACACAGTGGATGCTTACAATATTTGTTGAATAATCTGGGGTTATCATCATCCTCATTATTGGTAAATGCTCAGAGGGCTTGAGGAACATCCTCTGAGATTCTTCTCGGAACACTAGGCTGCTGAAAGGATAATCATATGCTCCCTTCTATGTCAGGATCCAGGCCAGGGACTAGGAAGCCCAAGGACAGGACCAGAAGTGGGGCCCAGCAGGAGGACCCCAGGAGCCAGCCTGCTCTGTCAGGCTCAAGGGCCAATGCATGGGTGTAGGTACCACCGCCTGTGTGCTTATCTGTGTGCAGGGCAGGTATTGTGGACTCATACACACACATCCACACAGGTGCACACACGCACATACAGTGTACACACAGACATTCAAACAAAACAATCAAAGCAAGCAGCTGGCATGTAGGAAGTGCTCACAATAAACCCTGGCCAGTTATGCCACTCCCAGCTAGAGACTCAAGCTGGGCCAGGCCTGGGCACTCCAGGGCCCTAGGGCTCCCTTGGTCAGGTCCCTGGATCACCCAGGATGCCACACTCCCTCTGCCAGCCTCTGCCAGCCAATGAGTCTGTCATCCCAGAGTTCCAGGCATCCATGCCCCTAGGTCAGCCTTGGCACATGTTTCCCCTTCCCAGGGCAGGGAGGAGCCCAAGCTAATACAGGCGGGATGTCCACCCAGGACATACCCCGAAGTACCTCTAATCCTCCTGGCGTGCTTGGTCTCCCGGACTTGAACCATCTTGTGCAGCAACAAGTGCCTTAGAGACACTCACCATAGCAGATCAGCGCACAGGCAGACTGCACACTCAGAAAGTCCTGGCTTCAAACCCCAGCTTTGTTCCCTACCAGCTACACAGCCTTAGGAGGGATACGCACCTCTCTGAGCCTCAGTGTTGTTCTCCATAAAACGGAGCATCCAAACACTGCCCTCGTCACAGGGCTGCTGTAAGGACTACAGAAGATGGTGTGTGCGGTGCTTAGGGAGCAGTGCCTTCTAGAACCCTCTTGGGTCTACAAGGGAAGGGCTACCCCAACCCCAAGTGCGACGTTCAAAGAAACAGCACACAGCTCAGGTCATTCAGCCTTGTAG